AGCTACCTTGTATTTAGGCAGCTGACCTGGTAGGGTGCTGCGGTAGGGTGTTATGCCAAGCCCTGCGCGCAAAGTCCGGTGTCCCCTGGGCTGCTGCTCTTGTCGTGCTCTTTCCCATCTCATGCGAACGCCACCTCCATCGCCAGAGGCGTTGGGAGGCTCTGGGCTGGGCAGGTCCCTGTTGCTCTGCCATGTGCCAGTGGATCCTGCCGTCCGGAAGTGCGGGGACAGCTCCTGCACAAACAGCTCGGTCACAAACCAGTGTGTTTGGGGCCTCCCGGCACGCAGGAGGAGCTCGGGCAGCAGGGCGTGCTTTCCCCATTAGTAATGGCTTGGAGACACCTCATTTTGCAACTGAGAATTAACTGTTCAAGCTGTATCGAGTTTAGCTGCTGGGACTGCAAACAGCCATAGCTGCTGTAGTATGGGCTTCATAATCTCAGTTTGGGATGGGCTGTGTTCATGATATCTCGTGGGGGAAGCTTACAGTGGAGGGTCTCCAGGCTGGAGGCCAGCTACCAGCACTGCTGGGCTTGATAAAGCCCTTGGGAACACTCTCTGCGACTAAATCTTCCAATTCTGAATCGGTTCTTCATTCCAGAAGGATTTCTTCATCGCTTCGTGCTACTGACTAGATAAGATACAAATAAGACCTTACAAGGAATAAGGACAGAACTTTAAGTAGCAGTGAAAAAGAAACTCTGCTATTTTCCATAAGTTTGCTAATTCTCTAAGTAGTTGGCAGAAGGAGTTAGCGTCCCATGAAGCTGCAGTTAGGTGTAAACTTCAAACTATTAGTTTAACCTATTAAAACCTGTTATTCAGTGGGAGACAGAGGTACCTTGATGGTTTGCTGCTTTTTACCTGCTCAGTAAGGAGAGGGGCTATGCTGCTATCACAGGGTTGTGTTTGCTGTTTCATGGTTGTGGTCACTGAAAAACAATATTATTTAGTGGCTCTTTCTTGGCTTCCTTATTAAAGGTGGAATGTGGGCCTGCAGGAAGGGTGAGGTCTTCCCTCTTGCATTTCCGAACCTGACGTCATCATCAGTGGCTTTTCTAAGTCGGCGCTGGCCTGGGGACACTGTCCTGCTGCCACCGATGACTGGGGAAAACATCTCTGGCCTCAGAGGAAGAGGTCTGGATTTTCCAGTTGTGACTATAAATCCTTGATAAACCAGTCAGGTGTACAAAGAGCACTTAAGATAAATATATGAAAATTGCTTTGCACTTCACATAATGGTAGTCCGCAGGTAACCGTATTTAAAATAGAAACAAACTTCTGCTAGCAACTTACTGAGCCATCTTTGCTTTTCACTCAGATGGATATAATTTTCTAGGAAAAAGGAGGGGAAGGAGAAATCAAACTTTTAATGAATCTGAAGTTGTATGGAAGCTCTACTCCACTATTTGATAGTTTTAAATTAATGTTGTGGGTAAAGCCCTTCAAAAGCATCCAGTAACTTTATAGCAGTATAATGAAGAGTTCTGTTGAGCACAAATATGGAGGAATATTAGCAGGCAGATTGCTTCCTCTAAGGATAACTTCTATTAAATGTATTTCGTGATTCCCAACAGTGAATTTACAGAATCTTACAGTAATTTGCTTAGTGTTGCATGGGTGGGAAAATTCTGTGAACTCTCAGTCCATCACTGTTGTGCTTATCAGCAGTTCAGTGGTTTTAATGATGTGTACGTACCCAGTTATAAGTACTCTGAGTGTTCTTAGGAGTTGCTTTGAATTACACCACCCGAGGTGACGGGTTTATTTCCTAAAGCTGCCAGTTAGGTTAAGGTTGTGTGTTCTCTTCTGGTGTGTCAGCTCTGTGCTTCCGCGGGGTCTGTTTCGTATCACGTCGATATGTAAGCGGGTCGGCATCCGGGATGAATGAACAGCTGAGATGCCTTTGTCTAATCTAACTTTCTCTTACACTGAGCCAGGTTAAGGACTGGAAAGAGGCATGGGGGAGTCAGCGCAAGCTTCAGTTGCATAATGTAGATGTGAAAACCAGTTTTTTTTCTTTTTTTTCTTCAGTGGACTTCTAGGCAAAAGAAGGAAACTGAGACCTGGATGTGTGTGAAGGTGGAGAAGGCGGCCGCTCTCCCATTACTTTTGCCATAGTCTGTTCTGTGTAGTTAATCCCCGCATGCCACGTGTGTGGCACTGCTGCTGTCTCACTGCCTTTCCAAGTTCATAGAATCACAGAATGTTTTGGGTTGGAAGGGACCTGTAGAGGCCATCTGGCTCAATCCCCTGCAGGGAGCAGGGACACCTTGAACCAGACGGGGCTGCTCACAGCCCCGTCCAACCTGGCCTGGAACGTTCCAGGGATGGGGCCTCCACCACCTCTCTGGGCAACCCCCTCCAGTGTTTCACCACCCTCATTGTAAAGAATTTCTTCCTTATATCTAGGCTAAACCTACCCTGGTTTAGTTTAAAACCATCACCCCTTGTCCTGTCACAGCCTAAAGCGATTCACCATTGGTAGCATCATGTAGCCACTGTGCTATGGACTTGCTCTTAAAGATGGGTAAAATGTAACTTCATGGAAGCTCTTAGTGAAAAGCATCCATTTGCCCGTGGAAAACAGGACTGAAGAAAATGGTATTTGAAACCAAAAGCCACGTTAGCCATGGTAAATACAGCTCCTTCTTAATTAATTGTGTGTACACTATCAAATTCAGTTTTAGAAATAGAGGTGGCTCATCTCTTACGCAGTCTGTTGAGGACAGAAAACTCTGGCTTTTTGTAAAACCATTATTTGTGTAAAACAATTTTGTGTAAAACCATCATCATGTGCAGCACTGTGTTCCTACAGAAATGTTGAGTAGCTCTGTATCCTTATGTCAAATCAGCTGATGTGTGTAGTAGTTGCCACTTAAGATTAGATTAAAACCTGTTTAAGAATGTGTTGCTGTAACTGGAGTATTCTTACACTGTAGTTCTTCCATGTAATTTCTGGTGGGATTTTGCAAGACTAAAAAAAAAATAATAAAAAAATCAAACAATTGCTCTCTAACGGGATATAATTTCTATCAGACACAGTATTTCTATTTGTGTGGAAGAAAAGTTTATCGATCTGGCATGTGTTTTCCTAAACAAATAAGTATTTATTTATTCAGCCTGGAGAAGAGGAGGCTGAGGGGAGCCCTTACTGCTCCCTACAACTGCCTGACAGGAGGGGGGAGCCTCAAGCCCTGGAAGGGGCTGCCCAGGTCAGGGGTTGAGTCCCCATCCCTGGGAGTATTTAAAAGCCAGGCAGCCGAGGTGCTTAGGGCCAGGGTTTAGTGGTGGGATGGCAGGGTTAGGGGAATGGTTAGGCTTGGTAACCCTTAAAGGGCTTTTCCAACCCAAACAGTTCTATGGTTCTATGATTTACAGTGCCTGCAGTTTATGTTGCTATCAAAGTATTTAAGTGGCTTTTGTCTTAGCCTTGTTGAGGTTTTGAGCATTACTGTTTTCTGGTATTTTATTATTAAACACCTTATGGTTTACAAATAGCTCAAGCAGATAACGTGCCATGAAATTGAAGTCTAGTGCATTAAGAAAACAAACAGAAAAAACCCCAAACTTAAAGTGAATGAATATTGTCGTTGGAGGCATTTCGCATGTTAGGCTGATGAAGCCTGATCAAGAAAATGAACTTTCTGTGCATGAGCAGTCTTGCAGTAGGTTATTAAAGAGACTGCGGGATCAGAAGGAAGTTGGTGTAGTGGATGGGGAACTCTGACAGCAGTGGGGGAAACTCTGAACAGGAAAGTAGAGTACTGGAGAACTTCCAAGTCCCCGATAGCAACAGACGTGTAGTAACAGTGAACAGCCAAGCAGAAGAGCTCACGGGGGAATTAAATTTATCTTTCGCTATTTTATAGATCTAGCAAAGGTAGGATAAAGCAGTGATATAGCAAATGAGTCAACACCAAATAAATCTGTGTCAACATTAAACAATTCAAAGTTTATGTATAAACTGGGATTGGAAGAAGGTGTGGAATTGGATGTGTAAAGGTTTGAGAATGTTTATAAGAGCTGTTAATATTGTGTCTGGAAGTATGTGTAAGTATCCAGATATTTTTCTATTGAGGGTAGACCTTTACTGGGAATACTGTTAGCTTCTGATGATCTTTTTAAGCAGTAAATCTTTTCCGTTCTTTTAATATTATGGAAGTTGGCAAAATGTGAGGTAGTGGGAGATTTCTGGTGAAGTTTGTGGGCATGTAAGGAAGGTGTTCAGGCTGCCATTTCCACTGATCGCTGATTGATAAAGCTCTGCAGTGGTAAAATACAAAAAGATGAAGCTGGCTGTCCTACTTTTCTCATGTCTTTACATTCCATTCAGGTACATTGATAACATTACTTGCTTAACAAGTGATGATAACATTAGTTGCTTCAATACATCTTCAAGTGAAGTTATTCAGGATTCCAGTTTGTTTTGTCTTTCTGAAATAGCATTAGAGCTTGGCGAATTGAATTCGTGCTGGGGGTTTCGGGAATGTCAGGCTTCCCCAAGCACCCCTGTGCTGGGCAAGCCATTCACGTTCCCTGTGCCGGGGCCGGGAGCCAGCGCCGTGTATGACATCATGAACATGGTGGTGTTCATAGCAATGGTTCTAATGGGATTATAATTTGAAACTGCATGGGTTTTGTTGAAAGCATTGTAGCAATCTTTGACCCTAAACATGCTAATTAGTCTGACAGTAGTCTTTGTTTCCTCCCTTAGGGCTGAGAAAACAGAGGTACTCAGTGAAGACCTGTTGCAGGTATTGTAACACAGTTAATATGCTTTTTTTTTTTTTTATAAATGCTCTTCGTGAAGTTTGAGTCTTCTGAATTTTGTGGAGTACCTAATGTGGGGAGAAAAAAATACTGCAAATGACAGGGGTGAAACCAAGGAAGTCTTTCATGTGCTGAGACGTCAGTCAAAAAATTATGATACAATTTGAGTGGAAAAACTCAGGTACTTCTGTTCCTGAATCTGATCATATGGCTTGATAAAGTGAAGGAGGATGCATTTTTGCTTGTCATTAGATGAACTGGCTTGTTAAGCTTATGAACCATTAGTACTAATGACTTGCCAGTCTGGGGGAGGACAATAAACTGGGAAGAAACCATGATTAGGCACAGCTGGTTTCTGTCTTCATTTCTGTTTCTCTTGAAGAGGTCAACTAGGGCCATAAGAGAAGTGGCAAAAAACATGCCAACTGCTTGCTAATAGATAATGTCGTTTTCTTTTCTGAAAGTCTGGAATCTCTCTAAATAAAGGTACAAATTCTTCTTGTTTCACTTGCGATACTTGTTCTCAAATTTGTCACACTGACATTTGATTTGTTTGCAGACTTGTCATCTTTTTGAAAGTATACCATCTAATCAAACATTGCTTTCACGGTGGAATTTTAGTTGCAACTGTTAGATTAACAAGGTTGACTCGTTGCATGTAACAAATTTGGCTACGGATTTTTTTTCTACAGTTTTCTTCCCCTGGTTACTTTGTGAAAGACTTTCTTTAAAAAAAAATGGCAGAATGTAAACTGGCAAGGGAAGTCGGGCTAGCTGCTCCACGGGACCTCCAGTGTAATGGTTATTTCAAATTGGGTACAGACCATCTTAGTATGCTTAAGTTTGGGACCTGGATATGAAATGTGGAAGCCAAGCAAATGATGCAAGTACTTTTATTACAGATCTCTCCAGCTGTTCAGATTAAAGTAGAAGATGAGAGAATGTATCGGCTTTAAAACTTGAATTCAGCACAAATACATGAAATCATCTTGAGTAATGGTGAAATGAGCTGACCTGAAACCCCTGCTTTTCAGGGGACTGCTTTCTTTGAATCATAAATACCTTAACAGTTTGATGATACGGGGTTTAATTTCTGAAGAGATGTGTGCAATTAAATGGCATGAAGGATGTTAAAACACCTTGATAGCCTTCAAGGGCCCATCTGTTTTCTTGGTTAGCTGCAGAAGAGTAATAAGAAGTGAAAGCCAAAAATACTGCTGCTTGTTGCCAAAAAAATTTTGCAAGCAAGGCTTTCCCAGGCACAGAGCAGACTGGCTACACCCAAGTGGAAGAATTTACTCACTTGTTTGTTTGCTCTTGGGGGCTTGTGGAGGGGAGGGAGGCACTTATCTAACTAAAGAGCTTAAAAGCATGGTACTGTTCACTTTATAAACATGTTTCACAGTGTTCTTTTTTATATTTAGCTTGAGCTTTGACATAGGATTGCCATAGCTGGTTTTTTTTCTATTTTCTGAAGTGTAATACTCCATTTCAAGTATCTCTGTTAAATGTGCTCCTGCCTGAAGACAAGGAATATAATTCAGGACTGGAAAGGCTTCTACAATAGACCCACTTTCTGGCAGGCCCTCGTAGCGTATAATAAAGCAATTGTGTGATGTTCTGTATGCTGAAGATGCCCCATGGGTACAGACAGCATGGCCTGTAGGTCACAATTTCAGTTCAAAGGTAGCTTAATGGAGATTAATGTCCTGCATGATTTTTCTTGACATCTTTGAACTAAAAAGCAGATCAGAGAGTCTATTAATCATGAAGTTCTGGGGGTCGCGTTCCTCCTATCAGTCTTCTGCCCTTTGAGTCTGGTGTTCAGACTGCCTGGAAAGAGGCTATTGGGAATATATGTGCTCCAAGGTCTTCAAAGGAACGCAAGCCACCATGCACAGCCGACAAGGGCTGTGTTAGTCTGCTGGGATCTGTAAGATGGTTCAGTTATAGGATGTCACCATGTTTCAGGTAATTGTGCTCAGTATTTTAAGAAGTCTTAGCTACATGACCAAGCAAAAATAAATGCTTTCACAAAGCCTAGTTGGTTTAGAATGTGTTGGTGGTGTTTAATTTTGAAGATAACACAATAGAAATGAATTGTCTTAGCTGCAACAGTAGACCACAAACAGTACCTTCTTGGTCATATATCTTCATATGGACTTTTTTGAAGTGGGCTTAATTTTGAGCTTGTTGATGTATATGCTCGGTAAATTAAAGGCAGTGCTGTGTGCTCTCAGTTGTCCTTGGGCAGTTTCTCTGCACTTTACTCTGTCGTAATAGATTTTTACTAAGCTTTTTAAGCACCTCAAGTTGGATTCATCTTGTGTCTGTCAAGACCTTTTAGTCCCCTTACTGCCTCGTGTAGCCAGTGAAACTTCAGTCTTCCTCCCTTGGTCCTTCAACTCACCAACCCTTCTATACTGGTTCTTTCTCACCTCCCCTTTGGGCTTGCAAAGGCTGCTGAGGGGTGGCACGGCCCCGGGGCCCAGCTTTGGGTGCCTCTCCAGGCTACAGCTTAGTAGAACTGCTGCTCCCCTCTTCTGAAAGGGAATGGGGAGCCAAGTCCTGCACTTGCTGGTGCGTTCAGGACAGGGCTCCCATATCCGACAGCAGTGATTATGTGCTGATCCTCACCAAGTCCCCGTCTGTCTGTGCCTCCCTCCGCTGGCATCTTCCTCCTTGCAACTTCTCCCAACCCACACCCTGAAGGCTTCTCTTCTGCTGGATCTGCTGTCCCTTGTAGTAGCTGTAGTTTTCATAAGCTGCTTTGTTGGGACCTAATTACACCCTTCCAGTTGTAACCACTTTAGGGATATACACATCCCATTGTAGGCAGTGGCAAGTAAACCCGTTGGGAGATAAAACCCATGTCATTCTTACCTGGATGTGTAACATTCTAAATGACAATTTAGAGTATTTCATGTTCATTAGAACATAGCCATCTGCCTCCTCTGGAAAAACCAACAGTGTATCTCCTGCTTTAAATCCAGGCATGGTGCCCTTAACAGGAGTAAAACAGGGCAGAGTAACTTAACACTGAAATTACTACTCTGTCAGCTCATCTGTATGATTGATAGGATAGCTGGGGAGAATTACTGCCCTCCTGAAAATGTAACAGGAGTGATTTTAGAGCTGTATCAAAAACTGGAGGCTGTTCAGATTATTTCTGCAGATGAAATCTACTCTTTTTTTTCCCTTGCTTTTTAAATAGAAGCCATTCCAAAGGGCCTCCTTTTATTCTTGGTGAGTCATCAAAATGCAGATAAACCGCATTCTTTTGGTGCTGTGCATAGAGAGCTCGGTGCCATAAGCAGTTCTGTCGCAGTGCTCATCACTTTGTTTGCTTTTTGTGTTCTTTGAAATAAAATAGTCCAAATTCCTGACTTAAAATCCCTTAAAAGAACAGTTTATTAATGTATATCTGTTATATTCACAGTCTGTGTGTTAAACCGCGTTTCAAATATACTGTGATAAACAGAACTTGTTTGTGCATTGATGCCTATTTTTTTCATTTCACATCCCTTTTGAATCCCATTAATCTCTCCCTGAAAATATTATTTTGCTTAGCATGTAGGAACTTTGTCCTTGTATTTAACGGCCAGAGAAGGAAATGCCATAGAAAGCTTGCAGTACGTAGGCTCAGCCCAGTGTAAAGGAGTGGTCAGATATGTCTTTAGCCGCCTTCTTTACAAGGTCACAATGAAAAAACCGTGAGAGTTTTCCCACGGTTTTCGCCCTAAATTAGTGTCTTGGATATCTGCATGCGCCATTCGTCTCAGATGGCGAGTATCAGCCTGATTCTATTCTGCTGAGACAAAAAATAGGGGCAACATTTTCCCCCTCTTCCACTCTCCAGTCTCGTGAGCATTGTGAGCTCTGACTGAATTGTGCCACTGAAGAAAAAAAAGCGATTTAAATCTCTTTCCAAGCATTTTTGCTGTCAGGCACTTCTGCTAAGCATCTGAAAGTGTAAGCTGTAGAACTTGAGAAATGTGTGTGGTACAGGAGGAAGATTTTCTGCTGAGGCCAGGAAAATAACTTCTGTTTTTTGTTTTGTTTTCTCTTCCTCCTCTCTCCCCCTCCCGCCAACTAGATTGAGAGACGTCTTGACACAGTGAGATCTGTTTGCCACATTGCACAGAAGCGATTAATTGCATGTTTTCAGGGCCAGCATAGTACAGATCCTGATAAGAGACATGTAAGTACAATTGCCCTTTGGTTTGTCTTCTGAGACTAGTCTGAATATGGTCTGGCCTTCTAAAGACCGATCAGCTGCTACACCTCAGGTTGTCCAAGAGAAGAAAAACTCTGTACAGCCACCTCACGTGTTGACATTATTTGGTCAGGTGCTAGCTGTAATTCCTCATCCAGATACAGTAACGCAACCTTGGAGTGCCATAGTAGTGTCAGGATGCTCATTTCTGCAGTGTGCTGAGTACTTGCAGCTTTCATAAGACCTAAGAGGAGAAGATACTCTGCAGCTCTGATCAAGCTCTTCATATTTAGAATTGCCTCTGTGCACTGACATCTCCTGTTAACTGTAAATGTTTTTCTGTACACGTTTGATTTCTGCTCCACTTCAGCAAAGCCGTACGTAGGTTTTCTTAAAGTGTTAGAACCAGAATTAATTAACATTTAAGTTTTCTCTTTTTATTGAATAATAGAGACCTCCTGAAAACAGGGGCCCACAGAACAAACCTCTGCAAAGAGAGAGATAACAAGCTAGTTGCTGCTTAGATTTCAAGTTAAAGCTGTTTACTTGTCCTTTGACAGTAGGTGAGATACATTTTGGGCCAGTCATTCCAACTAGGACTGAGAAGAAAGGGCTTTTCACAGTATCTGAGAACAGGAGTCTCGAGACTTGAAACTTCTTGTGACTTGATGTTTTCTTGAATTCAAAGAATGAGCTGCATATGCCTGTAATAGAAACCATATGGAAGAAGAGAAAAATCTTAGAGCGGGTGTACTGGGAAAGCTGGAAGGGGTGGATAATGCTAAGCTGAGCACTGTTCCTTCTGTTCCATAGAAAAAACTTCCTCTAACAGCTCTTGCTCAAAATATGCAAGAAGGATCTGTCCAGCTAAGTGATGAAACGCTATTGGGGTAAGTATTTGGCTTTTTAAGTTGCGATCTATCATTTTAGTGCCTGCAGGGCTCTCAGTAGAGACTTTTGGTACATAAAGGCTGTTTTCAGTCTAATGAAACTAACACTTTTAGATTCCTTCCCTAATCCAAAGGGAGAAGAAGTGAGCAAGCATTTCTGCTTGACTGATTCTGGGGGCAAGTTTTAGGCTTGCTCTGAATTGCATTCCAGAGGATTCTGATTCTCTGCTATTGTAAAAGCTTTCAAAAATGGCTTTTTTCTTTGTGGATTAGTAAAATTATCATCTCCATTTAAAGTTTAAAATTTAGTGTAAATACTGCCTTTTGTGGTTTTGTGTTAATGACTTAAAATAATGCCAATTTGCGTTAATGGCTCCTAGTTTAAAATAATGCCAATTTTCTTATCCTGGCAAAGTGCATATTTGCAACTGGCAGGGAAGTGGCTGAAATGAATGTCAATGTGCTGAATTCCTAGAGCAAATGTGCTTCCTCGCTGCTGATGGGAATTCTAATGGAGATGGTGTAGAATGAGCTTAAAAACTTTTGCGTGTGTTTTTGTGAGCTGTTGCAGGAGATTTAAACGCGGATAAAAATCTTAGAGAATAGGGGGTTTCCCTAGAACAAGCTTAAACCAAAGGTTAAATCATGGGTTTGGAACCTGAGACTGCTGCGTATGTGATTGTTTAGCATTATGGTGTTAAGATTTTTTTTCACGTTAAAGGGGCTTAGGAGAAAATGAAATACTGCATTCAGCAATTTTCCTGCATCTGGTGAGATGGAAGGATGGGCTTTGAAATAAATACTAACTTCATTAATAAAGAATAACTTCAGTCTAATCACCTAGATGAGTTAAAGCCTCCAAAAATGTTGTAATGGCTAAGGAATTTTAGAAGACAAAGTTTTAAATAACACTCCTTGCCTATCCCAAATTTGTCCATGATGGCATAGAGCATCTTGGGTTTATGCCATTGCCTTGCTTTACACAACACAAAGCTTTCCAAATGGGTAGCAGATGGCGAAGGGCCACCACTGGTTTGTTTTGAATCTGTCTTCTTTAGTCAACAGTAACTCACATTACAAATTCCTGTAATTCTTAAAGGAAAATGCTAGATACATGCGGTGATGCAGAGAATAAACTGGCAATGGAGCTCTCTCAGCATGAAGTACAGATCGAAAGAGAAGTTTTAGACCCACTGTGTCAACTAACAGAGGTAAGTTGCTTCAGCCTGACTGAAGAAATACATCAGGATTTATGTATAAACTGAGCAAAAAGGGTTTCTCTCATTTCTAATAATAGAACTGTTTTAAGGGGTCATGTGTTAGTGGTGAGAAGTGGCTATGAAATGTACAAAATGTAGTTTATTACAATACACAATTTAAAAATAAATGTAAGCCTCGAATTTGCCTTTTAGACGGAGATCCCGAACATTCAGAAGCAGAGGAAACAGCTTGCAAAGCTGGTGTTGGACTGGGATTCTGCAAGAGGGAGGTAAGAAGTAATTTTAATTACTATCCTTTTCTATTCATGTTAACTTCTTGTTGGCATCTCATGGCATCTGATCTGATGCTGGTACTTGCTTCCAAAATGCTACTGTATGCATGTCAATACTTCACTGTAAAAGGACAAATGTACATTTAAGTTATGCAAAAAAGGACTCACGACTACTAGATCAAAACAGAATGAAGAGTGTGAAGCTCTTGCATGCCTATATATAATTGGAAAAATGCTGAAAACTCATCTTCTTTCCAGTTCCCTTAAGTTGTCAACTTTAAATAAGGAATAGGAGCCTAATTTTGTAACTGTGCTAAGTGCTTTTACAGCGTGGAGCCATCTCAGTGGTAGGGTCCTTGGTTGTTCAACTTACCCTTAAGTCCCTTTAAACCACCTTAAACTGTGGTGATAATGGTGTAGCGTTTTCTGGGATTGGTAGTTCTAACATATTATACACCCATGTAAGGGGTTGTAGAGAAGGCAGGATTTCTTGTGGATTTTTATAGCTGTTCAGCTGTTTGTGAATTATGCCAGCATGCCATAAATGGTGTATTTTGAGCACCTTCCTTAGTTCTATTTGAAAACTTCTGAAACTGTTGGGTTTGTTTTCTGTCAAAAGAAACCAGTTTCAAAGGAGCCATAAATGCAGATTCTTCTTTAATATAAGTTTTCACCAAATGACTGAAGCTTTTCTTCCACAGGTATAATCAAGCCCACAAGACTTCAGGAACAAATTTTCAAGTGCATCCTTCAAAAATAGAATCTCTTAAGGAAGAGATGGATGAAGCTGGAAATAAAGTAGAACAGTGCAAGGTACGACAAGATCAGTCTCTGTCCTTCACGAACCTCTCGTTAGCAGCAATGGCAATCAGAATATGGCTGCTTCTGTAAGCCTTGAATGTGGAACTGGCCATCTGATTACTGCAGTTGCAAATTATGTGGCTGTTAACAAACTGTATGCCTTAAAGGTGTATTAATGCTAGATGATCGCTGTCTGAATAGCTTGAATTTAATGAGGAATTTCTTTTTTTTTAGATGGGTATTTTATGGTATTTTCTGTTTCAGCCTGAGACAGCTGTAGGAAGGAACTGTGTCTTAGCCTTGACTGAAATATTCAGGGTGTCTGTGCTTCAAGCCACTGAGTAGCTGTGCAGTGTGAGCTACCTGGATGGAATTCAGGCTGCTGACATAAAAGGAACATTCTGACTGTTAACAGCTCTGAGCAATTCACATGCAGTTTCACTTCTCAATCATCAAATACTACATTACACTACAGTTAAGCTGAGCACCAAAAACCTTTTAGTAGTATTTGTCTTTGTATGCAGGGATTGGCTGTACATAACATAGTGCCGTGCAGTCTCATTGTTGACTTAAGTGGGCCACTGCTTTGCTACATAAAACAAAGATAGGCATTTTGAATGAATTTTGCTTGGGAAGTATACCTGTAGCAGAGTAGGTGGGTTACTGGCTGCCTGTACTGCCTGAATCAACAGTCAAACTTACTGCAGGCAAAATAACGTATGTACTTCTGTCTTTCTGTATAAGTTGAAACGCCCCTGTAAATTTGATGTACTATTTTGTATGCTTTTCTCTTTCAAAGGATCAACTAGCAGCAGACATGTATAACTTTGTGTCCAAAGAAGGAGAGTATGCTAGATGTTTTGTTATGGTGAGTATTTTTTCAGTATGACTTTGATTGCAGCACATATGTGCGTAGACACTCAATTCTCAAAGATTACATTTTGTCTGCTAAACCTTCTAGTCTTGTATTATGTGCTCATCAGAAGCTAATGCTCTTTTTGTTTTTAAAATGTGGCTTCTGTTCTCAGTTATTAGAAGCACAAGCAGATTACCATAGAAAAGCATTAGCAGTCATAGAAAAGGTCCTACCCGAAATTCAAGCCCATCAAGGTAAAGTAACCTGTGCTCTGGCTGATGCTTCTCCTTGCCTGTGCCACCTATGCACAATATTCTCCTCCTTTATCTTGATTCTCTTGCATGCAGACTTATTTAATAAGGCCTTTTTGATCTACTTAACAATTTTACATTCCCTAGCATAATTCCCTCTTTGTGTTCTCTGGAGTTCTCCAGCCATATTTTAACACACTAATAAAATATTAAGGATCTATCTGATACCCAAGAGGGTAAAGGAAGGATTTTTCTATTTGCTTGCACTTCTTCCTTGATATCATGTGACCTTTTTCTAATTCATACCTGGCTTTTCAGGCCAATGACACTTTCATTGTGATTTAGGAATTCTCTAGGGTCCTTGCTTCTTGAATTATTACTAGGCGATTACCAGAAAAATTCCCCTTATTCTAAGGAGCTTGACTTTTTTTCATTCTTTTATGCAATCCTTTTCCCCAGCGTGCACACTGCACTACAGCTGGCTAATGGAGCGTTCACATTACTATGTTGAGTATCAGCAGTTAAGAAAAGCTAGTAATACAGCTTCATTTCTTCCCCTCGCTCTGAAGCTTTCCGTTGTCAGTGGGAGTTAAGGTGTATCATTAACGGTTTGCTACAAAGATGCACTGTGTGTTGTTGAAATTGCTATCCTTAATACTGGCTCTACTCTCTCTTCATCTGCTAATTGCTTTGAACAAGAAGTAGGCTGAACAAAGTCTGAGAAAAATATAATCTGAGGTGAGCAAGACGCAAGTATCTTCAGTGGTGGACCACATGCAAGTTATAAAGATGAACACTTAAACTAAGTGTACCAAGAAATACAAGCATCTTGCTGAAAGATGATATAGAATATCTGTACTCTGTAGATCTGATGGGAGGCGAGGTAATGCAAACAAATTATGCTTACACGGAATCAGGGCTGTGTTATGGCTGTGTGGAAGGTTCTCTGTTTACAAATGACGGCTTTCAAGTTGTTGTTGCTGAGCTGCTTTGTATGCACTTTTCATATGACACGTGCTTCAGAGCAGATGGGCTCTCCTAGAAGGTGGGCTAGGAGGCAGCATGTCTAAGTGGTCCAGTATCTAACATCTAAGTGCTGGGCATGACTTCAGTCATGTTTCTAGCTGTGACTTTGAACAATTACTAAGATTTCAGTTCCTAATGTTTGCTGTAACTTGCAAAACTGGGGAAAATGGCATACACCCCTCGTGGTGTGTTAATGAATTAGAGGAACTGAAGCCTTAGGAGGGGTGTAGTTGATGTGGTTTCATAAGCAAAAAGGGCAAATTAAAACCTTTGCAGAAGCACGTTGAAGAGGACTCTCTCAAAGGCTTCATCTTTCTTGACCTTTTTTCACATAAAAGAAATAATGCATCTGTACTAACAACAACCTTTTACCTCTGCATTTTTTTCAGTTAAGACAGCATAAATGGGTGAAAAAATAAATTGTAGGAAACAAGAAATTCACATTCAGTTTGGAGAAACTTGTGCGAATTTTGACTCTGAGTTAAGCAACAATCGAGAAATTGAAAATTTGTGCAAGCGTTAGCGATGGGCTGTTAATGTGGTAATTATAATGTAAGACATTGGGGCTGCTAACATCCATTTTAAGTTGCTGATTTCTTAAATCAGCATAAACTTTGTGTTAAGAGCTCAGGTTTTATCCACCTTAAATACAATTAAAACTCAGATCAGCCCAGGTCATACAATCTGGACAAAATTTTCCTCAAAGATTTTTGCAGTCCTAAGCCTTTTGATGTCTTGGCAAATCCAAATTAATGTAACTTACAGCCCTGTGGTGGCACTTGTGTTGGGGCCTAGTGGGACATGGGCTTCCAGTTACACACAGGATTTGTGTCTGATATTCCGTCCAGAAAGATGCAGAAGTATTTTTTTTTTTTTTCCCTTGAACACCAGCAGGCTCATTTTCTCTTTGCTCATGATATAAGGGACTTTACCAATCGAGGGCTGTAAAAACTCCTACTGCATTCTGAAAATTTCTTTGCTGTACTGGAGGCTTTCTTCTTTTCTTGGCTGGGACATAATTCAAGTGTTTGTTAGATATTTTGCTCAGTGTTTTGATACTCTCCAACTAGACAAATGGACTGAAAAACCAGCTTTTGGAACTCCGTTAGAAGAGCATCTCAAGCGCAGCGGTCGTGAAATTGCAGTCCCTATTGAAGCCTGTGTAATGATGCTTTTGGAAACGGGAATGAGAGAGGAGGTAGGTCTTACCACATCACATGCTATGAAGGACGGGGAAAAAAAGAGCTCGGTCAAACTCATGGACTGGTGCCTGTACTTTTTAACAAGTTGCTTAAGTAATTTTGTTTGTTAGTGTAGATGATAAATCTTTTGCAACAGAATAACCTTTGGCATTATTTGAAGTGTCTTTGATAAGAATGCACCTAAAATGAAAAATTAGGAATGGGTCAAGCATGAGAGGGAACTAAAACATTGTCAGTTGGCAGTGACGCGTTAAGAGCCAGCTGGGTCATAACAGTTTAAGGTGAAGAGGCCAAACATCAAACTGTTCTGAAAGAGGATGTCATAAAACTTCCACTGTTTCATGCTTGTACTCATATGTTGTTACCAGTCAAATACATTTTATTTTTATAATGCAGGGCTTATTCAGAATTGCTGCTGGAGCCTCCAAGTTAAAAAAGCTGAAAGCTGCCTTGGACTGTTCAACTTCCCAGCTTGACGAATTTTATTCTGATCCCCATGCTGTTGCAGGTATCGTGAATGTTCTGAATCAAAGCCAGGTATAAATTGATACAACGCAAGTTTATGCTGTTCATTTAACTGTTGACTTACTGCAGTGGAAGGTGTTGATCTCTGCAGATAAACTATGAATGAAAATAAATTGAAAGTTCACTCTATTCCAGAACTTAACACAGATAAATGTAGGGTGCAGGTGCTCATCACACTTGATGTATTCATGTCTGCACGACAGAGCGGTGTTTAAAATTTAGGCGATATAGTAATCCAAACATCGTATTTCCTTTCATGACAAGAGTGTTAATGTGATCAAGGGAGATGAGAGCCATATGTAGACCTTTAATAAGGTCTTTGTTTGCAGAGATGATTCATTGTTTTATAGTACGTGTTTCTGTCAAATCACAGTAATTGTTGGAAGACCTTTTGTGTTAAGTGTTGAGCAGATATACTGTGGAAGTGTCAGGTCTTCCCACTGTCTCACTGGAACTTGGGTCCTATTGCACAGATAAAATTGCAAATCTGAGGACAGAGTTTTAAATGAAGACTGAAAGCAGTGGTTAAAAAGCTAGCCTGTTTCTGGTCTGCATTGCAGGTGCCTTGAAATCGTATTTGCGAGAGTTGCCAGAACCTTTAATGACCTACAGTCTATATGAAGAATGGACACAAGCTGCAAAGTAAGCATACTAAATATAGTTACATAGGAAAACATTCAACATATTTTTGTCAAATTTGGTTCTTCATATATGAGTTCAAAAGAAAAGACCAACCTGACACAGTTTGCTTTCTCATTTCCACTCTAACAGGTAAATATTTTATGTAACAAATTATTTTAAATTTTATGGTTTAGCTTCATACTAACTGCACAAAAATGTCGGGAAATATCTATTTTATATTTAAACATAAGGGCTGCTTCAGACTATTGGCTGCATAGTACTGATGCTTAAGCAGTTTTCTTTTGTTGGAGGTAGAGATAATTCAGGGATTTCACTAACAGGTTGCTGAATCACTGAGTACAAAGGAGTGCATTTATTTGTCTTAAATGGAAAGCTATACAGTCATCTCTTTGTTCACTGCAGAAACAACAATTTTCTGATCTGAAACTAAGATGTAATGAATTTTTTTTTCCTTTGACAGTATTCAGGACCAGGATAAGAAGCTACAAGAGTTATGGAGAATTTGTAACAGATTACCTAAGCATTATCATGCTAATTTCAGGTATGTATGAACATCTGATGGTAAGGGGACTGGAGCATCTCTCCTACGAGGAAAGGCTGAGGGAGCTGGGCTTGTTTAGCCTGGAGAAGAGGAGGCTGAGAGGGGATCTCATCAACACGTACAAATACCTGAAGGGTGGGTGTCACAGAAATGGAGCCAGACTCTTCCCAGTGGTGCCCAGCGCCAGGACAAGGGGCAATGGGCACAAACTGAAGCATCAGAGGTTCCAGTTGAATGTGAGGAAGAACTTCTTGACTTGGAGGGTGACCAAGCCCTGGGACAGGCTGCCCAGGGGGGCTGTGGAGTCTCCTTCTCTGGAGATATTCAACCCCCACCTGGACGATGTCCTGTGCACCCTGCTCTCTGGGTGAGCCTGCTTGAGCAGGGGGGTGGGACTGGGTGAGCTCCGGAGGGCCCTGCCAGTCGCTTTGATGCTAGAGTACTAAATTTCTAAGCTAGTTAACCAAAACGCTAATCCAGGGTTTGGGGGGTTTTTTTGCCAAATTCAGTTAGGTTTATAAAAGGACACCCTATTTTATCAAGTAGTTGGTGTGCATTCGTGGTGGTAGACTTTTACAGTCAAGTTAATTCACTATCGACTGTAATGAACTAGTGATGCATAGAACCCTTCTACTTAAGGGTCATGCTGCTGGCAACAGTACCCAACTCTTCACCAGCTGTGCTCTTCGTTGTATTTTCCAGTCTTAGAAATCACCTGGATGTATCTTGCAGGTGTTATTTTTCCTTTTGGTTTTGCCTTTTGGGAATGAATCAGAACAAAAGAAACACTGGTGACCCGTGGAAGTTCCATTACAGGATATGAAAATAGCTGCTGAGTAGGCATTCTCAATCTCAGCTTGTTTTCTGAAAATGTAATAGTTCTGTAGTTCTGTTTTGCTAAGGTGGGAGATGCTTTCTTTTCTATCCAGTTCAACTTTTATGATTCATTAGTCGAAACTTAGTAGCCAGCTACCAAGCAAGAAGGCTCTTCATCTTGTTTCTGTTTTGTTGGGAGCTGTCTTTACAAGTTCCTGAATTTCCCATTAGTTGCTTTCAACTTTGTTCCTGCTGTTTAATTATTTCTTTCCCTTTTGTAGGTATTTAATCAAATTTTTAGCAAAGCTCGCCCAGAACAGCGATGTTAACAAAATGACGCCCAGCAATATCGCAATAGTCTTGGGCCCCAACTTGTTATGGGCAAAGAATGAAGGGTAAGTTGTTTCAGGAAAGCTACAAAACAGAACTTCCATGTTGAATTTCTTGTCAGATCGTTTTAAAACATGTAGACTATTCACAGCAACACAGTAACTGCCTAAGAAATGTTTCAAATGTTTTTTCAACCTGTGCCTCCAGATCCTTTTTAGGCATGCATCTTTTCAGGAGTGTTTTCCAACTCTATAAATGTTACTGAATAGTCTAGATTTCATCAAAGCGTGAAGTTCCTCTTCGTGTGGTACTTAGGAGTCTTGATACATCACGCTTAGCATAACTTGTCATTTAGGTAATATGATTTTTTTTAAATTTTTTTTTTCTTTGATAGAATTCAATATAAAGTCTTCTACAAATTTCTTCTGCAGATCCCTTGCTGAAATGGCAGCAGCGACTTCAGTCCATGTGGTAGCAGTTATTGAGCCAATTATTCAGCATGCAGACTGGTTCTTCCCTGGAGGTAAATTCTTGCCATAGTTAAAAGAATTTCCTATTTGTGATAGCCCTACGCAGGTAAACCCTCCAGTAGGTTTTTGCAGTGAGGCACCATTTTGTACATGTACGTCTTAAGATACGTTCTGCCTGTCTCT